CTGGACCAGATTTGTTCAGTGTTCAAATGTGTTTGAAGGGTGTTTGCACCCTACATAAAACAGGACTAGGATCAATATCTATGTTAGACTGTACAGTAAAAGACAAACCTATATCACAAAAAATAATTAAGGGTAGTTAGAATTAGTATAGTTAGTAAATCATTTTGATTTACTTTGTCGGAAACTTCAAAAGATCCAGATGGAGGCAACCGCAACCACCTGGATCAAAGACTACCTGATAAACAGACCACAGTTACTTAGACTGAAGGGTCAGTGGTCTAATCCAGTAGTCAGCAGCACAGGAGCACCACAGGGAATGGTATTCTCACCATTCTTTTTTACTCTGTTCACCTCTGACTTCCTGAACCAGAAAGAGTTCTGTTACCTGCAGAAATACTGGGATTACTCTCAAGAAATCCCAGTATTTCAAGTGGGTGCATCAAAGCTGGACAAGAAGCTGCTATCAATTAGTAAAATTGATTTTAACTAGGTCCACTCAGAGTTAAGCGCAACAAGTATGAAAAGCCATTATCAGTGGAACACCAATTCGACGAGTCACCTAGACAACAGGCAGCAGGAAGAGCATATTTCACCCACTGATCTCTGTTTATTCACTGGATTGCTGATAGCCCGTTGGTATTAAGGTTGGTATTGGCACTCCCTAGTTAAACTCGTCACAATGTAAACAAAACATGCGCAACAGCATCAAACATTGATGATGTTCCAATTTTCAGAGGGAATTTTTACTCAGGTATTTACTCAGGGGTGGTTTCAGTCTATTTTAGACAGTAAATAAGTAGCTGTTTGCAGCCCTGCTTCAGATGTTATCATCCCAATAAATGGTCGTTATTAGCGGTGCCATAGAATGGCTTCAGATTGTGCCAGTAGGTTCATTAGGCTGTTATCATCGAGTGAATCCTACTTTTAACCCTAAAGTAATTCCTTTTTCCCCGCAGAGTTAATGAATCTATTTATCTGTAACCTGAAAATAATTTCAGTATTTCTTCTTGTACTTTAAATATAACTAAATAAGAATAAAATGAACCGCAACTCGGTCATATTAAACAAACCAAAAACAAGTAATCTCATGCCCTGTCAACTGAGTTGTAGAATCCTCTCCCTATAAATATTTATTTCTCTGTGAAAAGGTGCTGATCATTCTTTAATAAGATCCTCATCAAACAGACATGCAATGTTTGTTTTTAAAACCTACTGTGTGAAATGGATCTAGTGAATTATATATATTTTTGTGCACAAAACTACAACAAAAATCGTACTAAATTAGGAAATAAAAAAGCGTGATTGGCTATAAGGAGAGTGGAGAAAGAGGAGATTCTGAGTTTACTGAACAAAACCTGCTACTGACCAGGTTAGGTCAGAGGAAAATGTTACTATGGTAACAGAGATAGAAGTTCTAACGATTTGGTTGGAGATTTTTGTGAGCACCTAAA